TATCTAAGAGGATAAGTCAGATAAATCCCAGCCCCCACCCCGATGACTCAGCTTGGTGTTGGATGTTGTCTGTCCCCTCTGCCTCATACAGCGATGCTCTCCTTAGTCCTGCCTTCATCGTTATACCTTAACTGGCAGTAGGCTCCCACGGGACCTCCTTCTTAAAGAAAACATGAAAGGAACAGCAGTGAAATGCATATTAGACAGTCCGTCCTCTGTACCACATTTCCAGCGAGCAGGGGAATCGCTTCCAGCATTCTTACTGTTTCCTGGGTGTAGGCTCCTGCAGCTTCCATGACTGCCGCGTTTCTCTGCTGATGGTGTTAAGTGGACCCGGCGTGGACTTCGAAGGGAGTAGAATGGAATCCATCGTTGTTAGGTTTGCCTAAGGACCTGAAACTTGTGTTCCTTTTCGCTCGTTTTGTTCTCCACGTACTTTGTTATGCACGATATATTTAATTTTAATTTGTGTTAATAACTGTAAGCATGCAGAATGTCCAGCAGCCAAATTCAGCGTCGGTAGCGAGAGATTGGGCTCATTTTCACGCTTGTGCTTACAATGACCTCGTAAAGGGATTTTCCAGAACGCGGATTTCTCCGACAGCGCTGTCACAGGGCGGAGGGAATGGCGTTATTTAAGCCAGAGAACACAAACACAGCTCCAGGTGGGGTGCAGTTATTTAGGGAGAAAAAAGCACAGACATTTAAACGGCTGGAGGAGAAGGCAGGTATGTTGGCCTGTGTCCTGAGACGCAGTGGATGCAAAGTCGAACAGGAGGCTGTGGACTGTGTTTCCGGTTTCCTGAGTAGTTGCTGGTGGCTGCGGGTGGCAGCATTTGGGAGTTCAATGTGATTCTCACTTCAGTGGCAGTGGGATATGTGGTTGGTGAAGTTAAACTCTCTGGATTGCGGACAAAGCGAAGGCCTTATTTATCTGGGGGCCTGTGGTACATTGAGGGTTGTCACTATTTTAGCTCTGATTTTTGAACCCCCCCCCCCCGGGAGATGTAAAATGCACGCCATAGGGAGTGTGCATTTCCCCCTCGTCCTGTTTTCCCAGACCCTCTGGAGCGCCTCCATGTGTGTCAGAGCTCCACTCGCCGCTGTGGCTCTGCTGAGGATGGTAATTCCGTCAAGACAGTGCCGGTTTGTGTAGGGGCTCAGTGGAGCACCCTAACCCTTGCTTCTGCTCCACCTGACAGGTCCTGAAGTCAAGGCGACGTTTGCACCGGGCTGGATGGCTGGGGAGCGTGTGTAACCAGGGGGTGTTTGTCCTCTGTCGTACTGTCCCCCTCACAACCTTTGCTGTTTCGCAAGGTGGGCCCCGAGATCTGATGAGCAGGGGCTGAGGACGGGGACTTGGGCAGGGACTTGCTGCCCACAGGAGAGCGGGGAAGCTCCCGGAGGGCATCACAGTCAGGTGTACCTGAGCAAGCCTGCAGTGCCCCTGTACCAGGCTGCCGTGTGGACCCGTCCCAGTGTAGGCACAGGGCATGCCGGGGCGGGGCAGCACCTCCCAGCTCCTCTGGGGGATTTACCAAGCCCCTGATTAGACCATCGACACCAGCCTCATTGCTACCACGACCTTCCTGGCGACAGGTCCATCCCTCCTGTAGTTTTTTGAGTCTGCGCAGTGTTCTGTACAATTGAGTCTGAGAAAGACTGAATTGCAGCATATGTCGTCATTGCAGTTTCTGGCTATTTTTGTGAATTTCAAGTGTTTGCCTACTTCTGGGGTCGATTTCAGCATAAGCTCCTTAGGCGAAGAAGATTGTCTTGGATTTGGGCAGTTAGAACTCCAGGAGGTTGACCATCTGAGATGGAGAGCGAGACAAAGGTGTCTGTCTCATCATCTCATTCGTCTCTTCGCAATGCTTGGAGTTCTAGCTAGTGCTGGAGAGCAAGAAAAAGAAAGGGCATAAAATTGGAAAAGAAAAAAGTGAAGCATTTCAGGATGGCCTGACTGTCCGTGAAGAAAAGCCCAAGGCATCATCAAACACATGACTGAGGCTAGTAAGGTCCGCTCCATCACAGGATACCAGGGAGCCCCCCAATCATATGTCTGTAAACTCACAATGAGCATGTAGGAACTGAAGCTAAAGACACAACAGTGAGCCTGAACCCAAACTTCACACCGTTTTCACACAGTGACGCCAGGGCGGGCGTCTGTCACAGCAGTTAAGACACGTCAGAGTGCCTGAGTTCAAATCCCGGCTCCACTCCTGACTTCCGCGTCATGCGCTGTGCACCCTGGGAGGCAGCAGCGATGGCTCCAGTACCTGGATCCATGCCACTCACAGGGAAGACCCAGACCGAGGGCCAGGCTGCGAGCTTCGGCCTGGCCCCGCCCCCACTGTTGCAGGCATCCAGGGGAGTGACTTTTGCCCTGGTCCTGCTGTTGAGGGTGATCTCTGTTTCTCTCTCTCTCTCTCCCCACCTCCCCGTCTCTCTGCCTTTTAAACAAATAAATAAAAATTAACTCAAAGTGGGTCATAGGCTTGAAGCATAAAACAATAAAAACTTAGTCTTCCATATTTAGGGCTAGACAAACCGTTCTCAGATTTGCCACCAAAAGCATGATTCCCAGAAGCAGAAGGTGGTAAGTTGAACATTAAAAACTTTTGTCCTGTGACAATCCACGTGCAGTCAACTGAATGTGTCTCTCCAAAATGCACGTGTTGAAATCCTGCTCCCTGACGTGACACTGTTAGGAGGCAGGGCCTCTGCAGTTACTTCTGTCCTGAGGATTGAACCCTCAGGAAAGGGATTAGTGACCAAAGAGCTCTCTCGCCCTGATTCTTCCAAGTGTGGACATGGCGAGAAGTTGGGCACTTACAGCCAGGAAGTGGCCCTCACTGGACTCCTGGATCCCAGCTTACCAGCTCCTGGAACTGCAAGAAGTTAGCACGTGGGCCACCTACTTGGTGGAGGTATTGTTATGATAGCCTGAGCTGAGACACCGTGGGACGAGAATGGACAGAAAAGCTGTATTCTGGGGAGGAATTGGCAAACCACACGTCTGACAAGGACTGGCAAAAAGAACCACCAAGATCCAGCAGCAGAAGCAGGCACTAAGTCACAGCAGGGTAGCCTGCTCAGGACGGCTCCATCCCCTATCGAGTGCCTGTCAAGTCCCAGCTACTCCTACTCGGTTCCACTTCCAGCTTCCTGCTGTGTACACCCTGGAAGGCAGCAGACGATGACGCAAGTGCTTGGGTTTCCACCTCAAGTGGAATTCCTGTTCCTGGCTTGGGTCTTGCCTGTTGCAGGCATTTGGGAAGTGAACCAGCAGATGGAAGATTCTCTCTCTTTCTCTCTCTCTGTCTCTGCTTTCTGCCCTCTCTCCCCCTTCTCCACTTACCTGCAAATAAAAAATAATTTAAAAAATTCAGAAGAAACTAAGCAATCTAATTACAATCTAATTAGAAAATGGGCAAAAGACATGAACAGGCATGTTACCAAGGAGGGTATACAGATGATAGATAAGCCCATGAAAAGGTTGTTTGACATCTTTAGAAATCAGGGAAATGCAAACTAAAATCATGGTGATAGATCATTACACACTTCTCCGAATGGCTAAAAATAAAAATAGCAACACCACCAAATGTTCACAATGAAGCAGAGAACCTGGGTTGTTGATGCATTATTGTTGGAAATGTAACATGATTCAACCACTCTGGAAAGCAGTTTCTTATGAAACTAAACATGTGACTACCCTACAAGCTGGGACTGTAATCCTAGACACTTATCCCAGAGCCATGGAAACATGCTTCCACCTGTACATGGATGTTCACAGCAGCTTTGTTTATAGAAGCCTAAAATTGGGACCAGCCCAGACACACTCCAGCTGGTGGTGATTACGCCAGCTTTGGCCCATGCCTATCATGGAATGCCACACAGCCACAGCCGGGAGGGGGCTATGGATTCATGTGGCTTGGATGAATATGATGTATGCTAAGTAAAAAATAAAAATAAAGCCAATTCTGAAAGGATTCATGCTGTATGAGCCTGTTTGTGTAACTTCCCTGAAATGACAAAAATATAAAACTGGAGAGCAGACCAGAGATTGACAGAGATGGAAACAGGGTTGAGTGGGAAGCAGGGAGAGGTACGCATGTCTACAAAAAGGCAACAGGGGAGGACCCTTGTAGGAACGGAAATGTGTATCTTGACCGTGTCGTTGTGCAGATCCTGGATGGGACACTGTAGTTTTTGCAAGATGCTACCCACAGAGAACCAAGTAAAGAATATACAGGATCTCCCTTTTTGAAATTTTGATTTATGTATTTTCATTTTACTTGAAGGGCACAGAAAGAAAGAGATAGACCAAGAGAGATCTTCCGTCTGCTGATTCACTCCCCTAGTGCCTGGGCCAGGCTGAAGCCAGGAGTTTGGAACTCAGTCCCCGTCTCCCACGTGTGTGGCAGGGACCCAAGGACTTGAGCCATTCCTTGCTGCTACCCAGGGTGTTCATAAGCAGGAAACCGGATTGGAAGGGGAGGCGGGATTGGATGGCAGGCGCTCCCGTATGGGACATGGGTGTCCTTAGTGGCAAGTTGACCGCTGCACCAAGTGCGTACCCCTCTGTTTTGTTTCTCACCACAGCAGGTGCATCTGCAGTTACCTCGAGATCAAAAGTCATTTACAAACTTGACATTTTATCCAACACCCATCAAAATTCTGAGTGACACGTTGTGATGGATAAAAATAGCCCGTCTGCTCACATGTTGACTGTTTCAAGATCTCGTTTGACCTTTTACTTCCTACTTAGTAATTATCAGAGCTGTGAAGCACCTCGTTTGGTGTTAAGTGCAGTCTGCCCAGAACTGCGGAAGAAGAAATGTGAATATCTCAAAGGACAGTTTTGATTATCACCCCCACGCGACCCGGCCCGAGGTGGCAGCTTTGCCCGTGCCCGTCCTGGGCCCTGGCAGGAGGGCCAGCGGCTCTGCCGTCCAGGCTGCCGAAGGGCTGACCTTGTCCCATGTGTTTTCTCACAGGACCTGCTCTTCAGCGTGTGCGCCCTCAACGTCCTCTCCACCATCGTGTGTGCGCTGGCCACGGCCATGTGCTGCATGCAGATGGTCTCCTCGGACGTCCTGCAGATGGTGAGTGGCCCCCTCCCTGAATGAGAACGTTCGGGACCCTGGGCCCGAGCCCGCCAACCTGAGCCCACGTGACACCAGCAGACAAGTGGGTCCCTCTGACACGGCCAAGCTCGGGCACACGGAGGTCCCAGGAGGCCACCTCGTGCTGCCCTCCGGAAGACGGAGCTCCTGCACACGCGGTGCTTTCCGTGTTGGGAGCCCCCACTGCCGTGTCCTCCCGGCCAGCCCCTGGCCTGTCCCCTGAGCACTTTTCACGCGAGGACCTGCCTCCAGGACCTCTTCCGGGCTTCTCAGCTGCAGGAGAAGCCGCCACCTTCAGGCTTTGAATTTTTTGTAATCAGGAAATTTATTTTAAAAAAAGATAAGCTATCAGACCATGAGCTCTCAAGTTGGAAAGCAGGTCCTCTGTGCAGGGAGATGCTCTTGTTCCCAGAACCCCTGGTGCAGCGACACTGGCCAGGGTCTCGCAGAGGAAGGGCTGCTGCTGCCAGGGGAGCCGGGAGGCCAGGAGCAGGGGTCCCCGTCTCTCACCCCCTCCATCTCCACCTCTGTCTCTCTGTGTCTTCCCCTTTGGAACCAACCTTGCCTCTTCCCAGTGTGTGGCGCATCTCACGAGGGGCAGCCAGGCTGGCCTGGTAACAGGGTTTTGATTTGCTCTTGTCTCCCAGCCGCTGCGTGCCAGTGCATCCGTGTATCGAGATACAGGGCCAGCGAGCATCATTACCAAGATGATAAAAATGCCCGAGTCCTGATCCCGGTCCACATGTGGCTCCCATGCAGGGTGTGCCCAGCTGTCACGGTGAGGTGACCCCTCCGAGGTGGTCAGCCTTCCAGGAGGTGTCCGATTGAGCAGTGTCACCAGCGTGTTCTAGAAATTCCAGGAAGGTTAAGTTCTAGGCGTTCTCTCACCTCAGCGGATTGGTCTGTAAATTTCACACCAATTTGACCAAACCAACAGAACTAAAGGGCTGAAAATGTTCAAAGCTTGCAGTCCTCTCATTTTAAGCATTAAAATGAAAATTGCCAACCGAATAGGATAAGCCTGTTCCAGCCACGGCAGCACAAGCAGTTGTACCAGCCACGTGCGGGGCCACTGCAGCTGTGATATGTGGAGCAGGACAGGGCCTGGGGGCGTGGGTCTGGGGCAGCCTCTTCTGCGTACACAGCAGGTGGCTCTGGGCTAGACACTGAACCCACCCCGGCCTCCGTTCCCTCACCTGTGAGCTGGGGATCCCTCGGTGATGGGCAGCCATCTGTTAGCGGGACCAGAGCCTGCACGGTGAGCGTCCTTTGCCAGTGGTAGCGGCTCTGGGAAAGCCAAGTGCGGTACAGTGACAACAGCTGTGTCTTGCTTTCCCATTGCTGTAGCCGAACACCTGAGGCAGGGGAATGCTGGAAGAGGCACTGGTGAGGCCCCCCGGGGCTCCACGTCACATCCTGGCAGGAGTGCGTGTGTGTCTGTGTGGGGTGGGGCTCGCAGCTGAGACAGGGAGCCAGGCAGGAATCGGAGGCCAGGCTCACTCTGATGCGAAGCTGCTCTCCCTAGAACCGACTCATTCCCAGGGCCCAGCGTTAGCCCCTTGCACAGGCAGCACCTTCGGGAATCTGGGGACCGCCCTCTAGGTCTCCCCTGTTAAAGGTTGCACCACCTCCCAACACTGCCACACCAGGGACCCCGTTTCCAGCACGGGTACCTTGGGAGACCAATCGCATCCAATCCACAGCAAGAACCTGGACCCGTTTCTCTGCCAAGTGCTCTGGGGCTGGGTTTGCTTCCACCCCCAGCTTAGAAGCAGGAATATTTGCATTTCCTGCTGACGTGACCATGTCCTGTGTGACCTTGTGCTGTGGGACAGCAAGGCTGTGCTCTCTAGGGGAGACCCGGGTCCTTCACTGAGTCCCAGGGGAGGCAGAGGGGCAGTGGTAGGTGGTGGGACACTGCTGCCTGTGGGTCCCTGTTCCTCTGCTCGGAATCGCCGTGGCCTGCCTGCCTTGGCGGCTGAGAGTGGAACAGGGGCTTGCCAGGGCGTGGCGGCCTGCTTTTGCGGGCAGGTGTCAGAGGTGGGCGTGGCTGGGCAGAGGCTGCACCCTCAGGGAAGCAGGGACGCCCCCCGGGGAGGAGGGGCAGTCGTGACTCTGCACCCCCTCCCATGGAGCTGAGAACTCAGTGCCCAGGGACTTCCTCCTGCGCTCTTGTTCATTTCCTTGCTTTGTCTCATCAGTCTCTTTAAGTCGATGGTGTGTGTGTGAGACCCTGAAATAGCTCGAAAATACAGAGGCACGTGTTAGAAGGCACCCTCCCCCCACCCCCGTTCCCCTGAGGAAGTCAGCGCTCAGGTCTTGTAGTGAATCCTTGCGTTTCTTCCCTGACTGCTTGTGCTCAAGCAGAAGTTAACTTAGAAAGGCCGCCTTCCGCTCGCCCTCCCGCCTTTCTCCTCACCCATCTTCGTGGCCTCTCTTCCTTCCCTTGCTCCTCACCTTTTGCCAAAATGGGACCACACCTTTCACAGCTCGGCCACTTGATTGTATAACCTAAAACCATCAAGGCCTCCCGCCGCGTCCACAGACATGAAGACTGGGACAGCTGCACTGACCCACTGATCCATGACTTCCGGGTCATGGATTCAGTCCATCTTGGATAGAAAACATTTTTCAAAGTGCATCTTACTGAACAGGCGCAGCTTTTTTTTTCCTTGTTCTTATTCCCCAAATTAGGCATCGTAACGCGGCTAGAGATGACTTAAAGTCTGCACCAGTTCTATGCAAGTACTGCACCATTTTATGCAAGAGACTTCAACCTCTGTGGCTTTTGGTATCTATGGGTGTGGGCTGGCATCAGATCCCCACAGATACAAAGAGACAGCTGAGACATCAGTTGTTTGGGCCATTTCTTTATGTATGGGTTCTAGAGTTCTCTCCGTGGGCTCTGCTTGGTTCCAGAGACGGTGCTACGGGAAGCTCCTTGTGCACGGAGCTACAGCTCTGTGAACCAACCTCTGCCCGATAACCACTGCCATCCGTCTGCAGAGCCCGCTGCTGGCCGCCACAGCACGGGGCCTCCCTAGCGGCCGGCTCACTTGGCCTTTGGACCATTGCTGCCCCCAGCAACTGAGTCCTAAGCTTTCCAGAGGACCCGTGTAGCTGCTCCTAGACTGGCTCATGCCAGCAGCGCTGGGGTCACGTCTTCCAAGACTGTCCAGACGCTGAGCGAAAAGAGAACCGTTCCTGTTACAGCAAACTGAGTGCTTTGCAAAGGCCCAGTGACGGAGCGTCACCACACGTACTGCTGTCGATCGGGAGGCGGATGAGACGGCGATCATGGATCGGGCTGGAAGTGGAAAGACGAAGGATCTCGGGGGAGGCTGCACACGCCTTGCCTGCCGAGTGCCTGTAAAGTCCAGCTCTGCTTGACGACCCAGAGCATGTGCGTGGTGACGCTGGCGTAGCCAAACCTGCAGTGCCAGGCATGCAAAGGTAGTACACGCACAGTTATGTGCAGAACAGGTGGCAGATGACTGTGTTACGGGTTATGTATTTACTGCCCTTCAATCATCACGTTAGAGTGTATTCCTCCTGTGTATTAAATAGAAACTTGCTATAAAAAGGAAAACAGAAATTATAGAAACCGGGGGTGAGATACTGTTTCACGGATGCAGTTTATGCAAGCAAGGCTGCGTGGCACTGCAGACGCCAGGCCCTGCCTCCCTCCTCGGGCCTCATCCTGGCCTGGGGAGATTAGCTCATGTACGAGGAGACGGGTTTTGCTTTTGCCGTGTGAGTGGATCAAACAGTACTCACAGGTGCACTTTCGTGTCTGGCCTCCTTACGTTCGTGGACGCTCCCAGGTTTGCCCCTGTTGTGGCCTGCAGCGTCACCTTATCCCTTGCACAGCTGGGTGATCCTCTGTTCTATCAGGACACCACGTTTGTGTGTTCATTCATGGTTGGCGGTCATGTTGCAGACAATGCTGTTTTGAGCATCCTGGTACAAGTTTTTGTGTAGACCTACATTTTAATTTCTCGGGAGTCTATGCCTAGTCACGGAATTTCTGGGTTGTGATGAAGACTTTACCGTGAGGACCTGCCAGGCGTTTTTTTCTGAAAGCAGTCGCATGCTTTCGCATCTCCACCAGCTGAGTATGAAAGCTGCAATTCTCCGTCTCCACCAGCGCTTCTTAGCATCTAGATCCACGCTGCACTCAGTGGGTTGTGAGCCGCTATGTCACCGTGGCTTTTCTTCACATCTCCCTGATGGTTAAGGGTGTCCGGCATTTCTTCACTGCTTGATGGCCATTAGGTATATTTCTAGGAGAAACGCTTTTCAGATCCCATGCCCATTTGAAAAATTGGGTTATTTATCTTTTGATTTCTGAGTTTCAAGGTTTTTTTTTTTTTTTAAGATTTATTTATTCATTTGAAAGGCAGCATTACAGAGCGAGGGAGAAACAGAGCTCTTTACTCTGCCATTTTACTCCCCAAATGGCTGCAATGGGTGGAGCTGAGCCAGGCCAAAGCCAGGAGCCTGGAACTCCATCTGGGTCTCCCACGTTGCTGGCAGGAGGTCCAGATAATTGGGCCATCCTCCTTTCCCAAACACATTATCAGGGAGCTGGATCAGAAGTAGAGCAGCCAGGACTCGCGTCACTCCCGGCAGCCTAACCACAATGCTGACCCCCAAAAGTCTTTTTATATTAGAGATACAGAGGGTGCTGAATTTGTCAAGTGCTTTTTCTGCATCTGTTGTGGTCATGTGGTTTTGTCCTCTATTCTGTTGTTAATGGTGTATTACGTAGAGTGATTATCCCACCTTAAGCCAACTTCATATTCATGAGAAAATCATACTCGGTTATGGTGTGTAATCTTTTTATTTCATTGGTTGGCATATCAGAGTGATAGAATAATGTTCTACCATCTCGGATTTCTCGGAAGGAAATTTGAAGAGTTTGGTGTTCGTTAGACGTGTGGTCTAGTTTGCCGATGAAATCATCGGAGCCTGCACTT